TAAAGTTTTTTAATTGTCCTTAATCTATCGTGTACACTCTTGAAGACTTTCCGGGGAATTCTACCCATCCTCTTCCCATTTATTTTAAAACGTCCGTACGCGGCACCCAGGCGTCCGCGGGGGATGAAATTAAAGCGGGAGGGTCGCGCAGGGTATGGGCACATATTCTCAAAGTTTCAGCCTTCTTTTTCTGGTTCTCGAGTTGGAAGTGGGTGACAAAAGTGCGAACACACACACACAGCCTTTTCCTAATATGCGCTTTTGCAACTTATGTGCAAAAACGCATAAAAAATGACGGGGCTTCGTGCAAAAGACTGGTAATCATGCGCCTAGAAGACCGTGCGGCTCTGTAATGCACCCCTTCATTCCAACCGACGCCTTTCCTCCTGCATGCCGGAAGGGGGCCAAAGTACGGCCACTTTGAGCGCAAGTGTTAGGCTACAGCGCAGGGACCATTCCTACTATTAGCGTCCTGCGAGTTTAGTGCAAAAGTGAGTGATGGTACCGGCAAGCCTGGTGCGTTCCATCCTTGGTTTGGCTTATTCTTGGTAATGACAGACCTAATTTTGTCTCTGTTTCTTGACTGTCCTCTTACATTGGTCTTACGCACTCTCACGCGCGAACATGTCTTCGCTTATGCTGAGAACATCAAACGATGTTTTTTTGCGGCTCCCGTTACATATCGGTACGAATTTACTTCTGATGCGACATGTACCTGGCGTACTCGTATCAATGGTCAGTTTCCATGAGACTGCTGTTGCAGTACGTATGAGTGGCCACATATGTACTGCAACAGCATTCTCGTGGAAAATGACCATTGATACGAGTACGCTGCCACAGACATGCTGGATCAACATGCAAGTGCTCGAATCAGTCTGCTCTTAAAACTTATTCCATGCTCTTTACAATGCAGCTCTAAGCATGCTTCTCATGATGTTCTCAAAAATCTCAGTATTCTCTCTTATACGCGCACCTGTATAACGCTGTCTCACAGACTGCTTGACCAAAGAAAGAGTGGTCTGCATCTCCAAGTTATTAGTGGGAAAGGTGCTATGAGATGTTTCATCCATACTGAGAGCTACTAAGATATACAATCAGTTCTATTTCATAGTAACAGACACAGTCACCGCCGTTCCTTCGCTGTGATGTAATCGCAGGCCTGATTTTGTAGTAAAACTGAGCAATATATTTTTGCAGTGTTTGTCTAAAATTTTTGGATTTTAACTGGAGCTATTAGTCCCGTCCGATGGTAATTTTCTTCTGAATGTGTACAATTTGCAGCGAATTGTTCCCGAATGTCCCGGTATTATCAGTGAACTATCCAAAACCACACCTTGGTATTCTGGGGAAACACGAATCAGTTTACGAAGCCGAAAACATTGCGCTGATGTTGGCAGTCGAAAAGCAGTAGCTAAAATGATTATTTGTGGATAATTTTGATTAATTTACCCACAAAAATGTTAAAACTCATTGGTAGAAAAATGTAGGTTATAAAGTAATTTTTGAATACTGTGTTACACTCTTCATAATCCAGCAAGTCGAGTATACTTCAATGTGACAATTAAAAACTGTGCACCCAGGATTTGTTCGCAGTGATTCTGCAATACAAATTCACATATGACCCCGCAAATTTAAATTCCACCTTCATGTACGTCCAGGTCTCACGTACTGACACGTGGAAGTTTTGGCGCTAAAGGCAATTACTCAGGAACCACGAAGTCCAGGAAGCTGAAATTTTAGGACAATGTTCCCAACCCACATACGATTCCGCAGATTTAAATCCAATTCTCACATATGCATGTCTAGATCTCACGCGCGAAAAAACATGAGTTTTAGCCGATTGGAAATCTCGTCAATTTCTGCACATGCTGTAGCAGCAAAGCAGTGAATATTTTTAACACCACGAAACGTTCGCTTGACAGAACTGCACATGACTGCACCAGTCACCTTGGTGCATGCCGGTAGTTATAAGATGCGGGAAACGCATAATTTTCGCCAAACTCAACCGCCGTCGACACAAGATTCGAGACACTAACTCACTTTATCCGGCGATATGAAATAGCACAGTTTCGAAGGAGGGCCAGAGATTGATAGGATTTGCGGAGGGATATTGATTTATGGGTGAGGGAAGTTAGAGATTGAGAGAGTCTCGAAATAATGCGATGCTTGCGTGATTATTTAAGGCAGAGAAATGGAATAGTTTGATGGGATGTAGTTTTGGGTCATAGTGCTGAAGAGTTAGGCTGTAGTTCGATTCTCAGGTGGAGAGCGAGGGGGTAGCTTCGTTGTTACGTAGTGCGATGGGGTTGAGTCATCTCTTGAGGTTGGGTAGCCGGGCAAGGG